GGAAGGCTGCCCTGCATTGAAATAACCAGTGCTAAGACAACCACCCAGAGAGAACAGTAGGCCTAAAGATGTTTCGGCGACACGCGTCAGTAGCTAGCTTTTTACTTTATTTTCCATCTTTGGTTTACACGTAATTATATGGAGCGAGACTATTCACATTCACGGTTAAAAGAAAGTAAATGTTTGCCACTACCACGACTAAGGGGAGCAGGAGGAGACGATACAACGCAATTTGGTCTTTCTAAAAAGTAGCTGTATATTGATTTAATATTTATTTTTGGCTGAAGCAAAGTGGTTTGAGAGGACAGTAAAGGATAGAGTGAGGGGAGGAAGGCGGGAGGGTTTCAGGGGCTGGGATAAAGACAGGGTTCGTACATATTTTAGGTTGATTTTCTACTTTTTCCGTAGCCTTTCCGACACCCAATTTATTTCACGATAGAGTTGGGATTTATTTAATTGCGTACACTGAAAGCCATTTGTATTCTTCCCTTGTTTCATTCCTACTTGATCAGGAAGAGAACCAGGAATTTCTATAAAAGAGAATAGCTCAAAATGATTGCTTGTATGCAAAGGGGTACCACAAGGTTCTATCCTAGGACCTGTGCTCTTTGCCTTCGTTATGCGTTTTAGCTTCTTGTTTCACGAATCATTTTGAGGAAACTTTTCAAATGATTTATTTATTTTACGATCCTAATTTTTCATCACTTTCAAACCCATATTTATAAGCCCTTTGGAAAGAGCTCACAATATTGGGTAAAAAACGATACTGCTGTTTCTAGCAAGTGGTGAATGTCCATGAATTATTTCAAGAGTCTCTAATAAAACGATCATTGTGGGCCAGAGCAACAATAATAGGTTAATGTTAATGAAATAATCTAGATTAATTCATTTCTTGTTTCGACCGCAATTATATTTTATCTAAGTTTAACCAAGATAAAACCAGCATGGAGGGACACAACGGAACAATTCTAGCTTTAAAAACAAGACATCTTCACCAATCCGATTTTTAATTGACATTTCTCAGCCCATGCATATGTTGGGGTCTGTTTATAGAGCTGTTACCAATTAATTAATGTTTAAAATAGTTGTAAATTATAAGAAAAACTAGCCTTAGATGCACTCGCGCACTTTTAAAACCTATTTTTGTCATTACTTATTTTCCAAGTGCATGGGACTTATCTATTTTGAGATTTTCTGGCGGTTTTCCGTGTCTGTACGAACCCTGAAAAGGAGAGAAAAGGGTTGTTTTTTTAGTGGCGGTAGTGGCCGGTAGTCAAGACTCCACGTTCTTTAAAGCATTGGTGCAAAGGAGGAATGTAGAAGTACGCGGTGAGTTTGAGAGTGTTTTGAAGGTAGAAGGGTAAATGTTTCGTTGTAAAGGTTTATGAGGCGAGGTAACTGTGACGCACGTGAGCACAAAACATCTGCTTTCAAATACATTCAAGGCTTTCAAGATATATGCACAATGGTCGACACTGGGATATTTTGAATCAGAGGTAACATGAAAGTGCAGTAGTGGAGAGAGCGCTCAAAAAGTTCAGTTGCAAGGCTCAAAATGTAGTCGATTAACATTAAAAAATACTGACGCCAACATTTAAGTTAACCCAATTTCAATGCAGGCAAGATTAAGTTTGAAGTCTGCTCTGAATTTGATAATTATAGGGAAAGGAAAGGGCCAGATTCAATCCAGAAAAGTTAAAAAGGGAAGCTAAAAATGCAAAACATACATGCTTTAATTTGGCTACAACTCTGGATCGAATTTGTGGCTCTGTCAAAAAGATTAGAGTAGACAGCACAAGAGCCAAAAAAGGAAACAAAACCAGGTCTAAAATGACGTAAAGTTGTTATGTAAAAGAACTCCTGTGCTTATTAAAATGAAGGAGACATGGATGGGCTGCAGTGGGCAAAAATACTTTTAAATTTGAGCCTAAAAACAGGCGGAAGACAGGTCTAAAAGGGGTAAAGAAGAACAAGTGGATAAAAATGAAATGACTGAAACCAAAGGGAAAGAATGAGTCTAAATTGGGGCTAGAATTATTTAATTTTGTTACTTTGAAAACTTTGGTGACGCAATAAAGAAAAACTCTCAGTCCCGATCCAAAACCAGCTAAAAATAGGTCACTTTACTGTAAGTACTTTGTGCATACTATAAAATAAACCAAATATGTATTCTGCGGCCGAAAGTGAACTGAAGACAAGAGCAGTTCTAAACTAAGTCTAAACCAGGTCTACCTAAGGTCTAAACCGAGTCTAGACCCGGTATAAAGCAGGTCTGAACTCTGACTAAACCGAGTCTAAACCAGGTATAAACTCTGACTAAACAGAGTCTAAACCAGGTCTTAACCGGGTTCACCATAAGTCTATAGGACTAAACCAGGTCTACCCCAGGTTCTAAACAAGATCAAACCCCAGTCCAGACCAGATCTATCACAAGTTTAAATTTTAAACTAAACCAGCTTTAAATGAGGTCTACACCAGGTCTGAACTATGTCTACCACGAGTCTAAACCAAGACTAAACCAAGACTAAACCAGGACAAAACCAGGTCCAAAACCCAGCCCACAAAGCTGTTGTTATAATCCTCCGCTTCTGTACAAACTGTAAAATTGCGTGGACGGCTGCGGTTACAGAGTACAGTGCATACAGTGGAAACGGGGGCGTGTGATTGGTCCAGATTTCATCAAAAAGGGGTCGAGTGGGGGGGGGGGAAAGGGCGATGAATTGGGCATGAGATCACCATGGCAACAAGGACCTCCGCATGCGAACAATGTGGGAGAGCGTTTGAGCTCTGAAGTGCAGGGTAGCACTCCGGCTCTTGTGTACAGTGAGTTTTTTTCTCCTCATTTTTTTAGCCAGAGTGGAGAGGATTTTTTTTCGGAGCTGTCTTTGTAACACGAACATTATGAGGCGATATTGGGAGGAAATTAACTTCACCTGTGACAGAAGCGGCAAGACAAGAGATTGGGTAAAGTTGGAGAAGATTAGGCTGAGAGTCTGCTCTGAATTTGCTAATTACAGGGGTATGAACGGGCCAGATTTAATACAGAAAAGTAAAAAAGGGGAGGCTAAAATGCAAAACATACACGCTTTATTTTGGATCAAACGCTGGGTTGAATTTACGTTTTTCTTCCTCCCGAATAGATTAAAGTGGGATGGATACGATAGCAGTGACAAGACAAGAGTTCATGGCTACAATTGAGAGATTTGTTTGACTTTTGAAATAGTAAATAAATATATTTGGAGATGGGATTGCGGTATTTAACATAAGTGCATTAAAAGACAACTAAATTGGTATTCTGCTTCTGAAATTGAATTGAAGAGGAAAGCAGGGCAAAACTATGTCTGAACCAAGTGTAAACCAAGTCTAAACCAGGTCTGAACTGGATTCTGATTCTACACGGGATGAAGGTATTCAATATGGTGGCAAGTGACTACTGATATTATTGTGCATTGTCCCCATTAAATAAACAAATAAATACAATCTGGAGTCAAAAATGCATTAAGAAATGATGCTAAAGTTACTAAAATTACAGTTTTTACAACAAGGGACAAACTCAGGACTGCTCTAGGACAGCAACAAGCCAGGTCTGTATACTCATGGCAATATATATGTATTTTATAGTGGTATTCATTCATGTTAATTCTCCCAATCAAAAAATAAAAAATAAATCTGAAATTTTACGACAAAATTAGGCTAAAGTTACTCAAATTAACTACAGTTCTACGAATAACAAAGGACTGCTCTAGGACAGCATTAAGCCAGATCTGGTATACTCATGGACTAACAGCAGGTCTTGACCATGTTGAGGCGTGTGAAGATTTGATAGGACTATCAAATCTGTGGGGCGTTTGATCATCTCTTTACACAACTTACAGCACAAGCATCGACAACTATACAACAACTGGAGCCGGAAATAAATAACATTTTACAAGTTCCCTGACGGTGAATTAAATATGTAAACAAATGGACATGACACTATACAAGCACATTGCGAAGGAAAGGGAGACATGGCATAGACTGGGGAAAGCCTACGGACGCCATTTTGATTGATTAACAATAATTTCTTACACTTATTTACAATTGAATGAGTAAAACCAGGATTTAAACATAACACTGGGTTTTTATCATCTCCACATAAACCCAAGGGCGAACCAAAAGTCGCTTTAAAAATTCAGTGGTTTTGAAATTGACAAGTAAAACAAATTCAAGTAAAAAATGTGATTGGTGATTTCAGAAAATAATAAATAATATGAAAAAAACGTTCGGCAAACCAGAACCAGAGACGGTAGGCACCGGGGGCTGGAATCTGAAAGTGAAAAACAGAAAGAGACACACGAAATTAGTAAGAGAACTGTGTGGTATGTACTGTACAAGGGCTCCACGATATTGGAAATTAGAGCGATATTCGATATGAGTGTTTAGTATTGCGATAACGATATTATTGCGATATTTTTTTCTTTCACCTAAAATTGCAATCTGCATTGAAACGCAAGAGACAAATAACAAAAACATTAATGACATATTGATATAATTTTTTTTTTTTTGTGTTTGTGGAAAAAAAAAAGTTATTATCACTCATATTTTAGATATGGATATCGCACGCACCAATATTGCGATAACGATATTTTTTCCATATATCGTGCAGCCCTATACTGTACCATGTGGAAGTTTTGCAAATAACACTGTGTTTATATTTATTTATAAAACTTGCAAACTAGTAACAGATTTATATGGGCTACTACAGCATGTTATACATAATTTTAAAGCTAATATATCCAAGAAAGCAACTATTTAAGTCATCATACTCTAAACACGGAAACTAGGACAATATTGTTAATCATATTTGATCGGTTTTCAGTAGTTAGTTATCACCACAGTGTGTATACATACACACACACACACACACACAGACACACAGAATGACCTGTGACTAATCAAATATAAAAAAATGAACCTTTATCTTAGCTTAATCATAATATTTAAGAAAAAACTCACTTTGTTTACTCCCAGAAGTAGCGCAGATACCATATCGTTTCATTCTTGAGCTGGGGTCCGAACAGAGGATTGGCCTGAGCCAGAATCGCTATCAACCAACTGCAAAACACACAACACTGTAAGATAAACACAAACCGGAAAAGACACAAGACACACAACACCCCGATCCATTGTTTACTTCCTTTTAGAGAAACCACAACAGCTGCGAAACATACAGGACGTGGTTGAATGATAAGTGATAACTGTATGTGTGCTGATTCTGGACTAGCGTCTCCCTCTAGTGGGCGACTTACACTACTACAAGTACAAAAAAAAACGTATTCAGCCAGAAAAAAAGACAGGCTACTACTATTGCTATTAACTACTTATGTACAACTACTACTCAAATAAAATATAATAAACACTTGAGTAGTAGTAGAAGTAGTTTTTTTTTTTTTTTTTTTCAAACATGCAACAATCAACAATCAAAATAACACACAACATAAACAAGACCAAGATACAAGATAAACATAAATATATGGTTTGGAAAGGGGTTGGACGAGGCAAAAGCTTATTTTAGTTGTTGGCCGGGATCACACTAGTTAACCAAAAAATACTGTGGTCATGATACACTACAGTTTTCATAGGAGAAAAACGCCTTTACACAAATCCATCCATAGAATTCCTGCATGAACTCTACTGCCCATGAACACAGATATTTTCATTATTGTTATTACTATTATAATAATTATTATTATTATGTATTTATTCATTGCAAACATGTACAAGATAAACCAACAATTATTATCTGCGCTGGCTCCGGTGGTTCAGAGAATTTACTTTAAAGCAGCAGTTTGTTACAAGTCTCTCCATGGCCTCGCAGCAAAGTACATCTGTGACATGTTAGTGGCATAGGAACCAAAGGGGACTCAGAGGAGCACAGGGACTGGCCTCCTGGTGGGACTCAGAGTGGCACAGGGACTGGTCATCCGCTGGGACTCTGAGGAGCACAGGGACTGGCCTCCCGTTGGGACTCTGAGGAGCACAGGGACTGGTCTCCTGCTGGGACTCTGAGGAGCACAGGGACTGGTCTCCTGCTGGGACTCTGAGTCAAAACTAAACATGAGGAGGAGGCAATATTTGAATAGTTTTTTTCTCCATCCATCCATCTTCCGCTTCATCCGTTGCCGGGTTGGGGGGGCAGCAGTCTAAGCAGAGACGCCCAGACTTCCCTATCCACACACACTGAAGGTGCGTTCAGACCAAACCCGTTTTCTGCGGCAAAATCGCGTCTGACGCGCGTCTCGGGATGCTTGTGACAAATTGTGGCAGACGCTGTCACAAAGCATCTTGGAGGCGCGTCACACGCGTCCAGGACACTAGAGGGCAGCGTTCTGGAGGCGCGTCAAGGAAGAGCGTTTTGAGGCAGGTCTGCTCTGTTGCCAACACAACTCGGAGAGGGAAGGATAAGGGAGCCAGGATTAAGGTAAAAAGTGTAAAATACGCTTTAATTAGGAGATAAAAGTTACTTCTAATAACATTTTAGGCGAGAAATACCCCCCTCTATTGTCATATCGGAGGTCTGTTTGGGGATCAAATAGAACATTGTCGGACTTTTCTCCAGTGCAGAGAGCGGGGGTCGGCCAGTGCTCAAGCCGAGAAAGAGCGTCTCAATGCGGGGACACATCAATGGAGCTCTCACAATCTTAATTCTGAAAATCCGAGGCTTTTGTTACGGACTTTCTCTGTTATAACAATTATATTGGCAGTAATCATTTGTTTTTACAAAGTCATATTGCATGTAAACAATGCACTCATAGGCGATAAATGATATATGATTGATTTATTGATTTATTTGCACAAACGAGGGCCTCGTTTGTGCATCACTTCCATAAATGAAATAACGTGTGTTTTCTGATGAGAAAGGAATATCCATGGATCTATAATAATAATAATAACCACATCCATGGATCTGTATTATAACGAACATCAGTAAAAAGGACACAGGAAAGGCCTAGAACTGCTCTTTTTGAGGTCTTGAAAAGCAACAGACGGTTACTGATCAGATTAGAGTTGAATGTATTCCATTAGAACTTTAAGTACTGCTGACAAATATGTACCTGTGTAAATAATACCTTATTTTTCATGACTCTACACTTCAGACACAAAAAACGAAATAATAATAACACCAACAAGTTTTATTTTTTATTTCCAGGTTCTCTATGAAGGTGTCAGAGGCAGACGCCCAGGACTCTGCTGTTGCTCCTCCTGCTCCTCCTGCTGCTCCTCGTCTTCAGAGATGCAGATCCCACTGTTCTAACTATTCATGACTGATGATTAAATAAAACATGAAAATATGTTTGTTGTAGTTCATATTGTTAATCTGCAGTGAAGCAGGAAGTGATGGAGGTGAAGCTGGAGAAACAATGCCGTGTGATTTTGTTGCTGTCAGAGAAAGTCTGAGTTCCATTTCACCAAAAGTCTCTGAAAATGAACACAAACATCATGTTAAAACATGGACACATAAAAATAAAATACAGAAATCCTTCCTGTATTTAATATTAGAGGCACACAGCAGGAGAAACAGACACTGAGGAGAAACAGACACTGAGGAGGAACAGACATTGAGGGGTAACAGAAGAATAATATATTGGAAATATACACACAAATAAAACTTAGGAGCGTGGCTAACCACTTTAAACCTTTTGGAAGTGAGACTGTCATCTGCAAATGTCCTTTATTAATGACAAAAGAAACATCTGTATAATGTGCTTGTATTTCATCATTATATTTATCAGACTATTGTATGAAAAGTGCTTCATAATAAGCCATATATATATATATATACAGTAAATGTTAATAATTATACAGTATTCCCAGTCTTAGTATGGGATTATAAATTATATACACAATCTATTTTATATGAATACAGATAACAGTGTTAGCATACTACATGTTAGAATACTACAGCTGCTGTCTCCATGGACAGCTTTAATATGTAATCTGTGGGTTTGTTTCTCCCTAAAGATGACATTACAGATTTTGCGCGGGGAAGTATTAGCGATTGTGAAAAGTTTAAATAACTTACCAGAGACTCACTCCTCACTAGCCCTCCTCCATGTCACGGTGGTTATAGTCTGCAGGGCTCATGGGCTAACCACACAGCTTGTCCTCCATAGCTGTTGTGTTGTCGTCCCCCTCGGTCCTGCCGTGAAATGCGTTACACGTCACGGTTGGAGGAGGCTCCTGATTGGTAGACGCTCGCGTCTTCTCCCGAAAAGTTCAACATTGTTCAACTCGAGCGTCGGCCGCACGCGCGTCAAAACGCTCAAAATCTCAAAATCTCAAAAGCGCCAAACGCTCAAAGACGCGCTGCTCGGGAGGCGTGTGACGCGCCGTGTGATCTCTTGACGCTCCTAGACGCGCGTCCCCCATGTTATGTCAATGTAAACCCGACGCTTTGGACGCTCAAGACGCGTTTGGTCTGAACGCACCTTTACTCCAGCTGACAGACATAGTCCTTCCGCTGTTGGTTGTTGATGTGAAACACTTAGACATTTCGTATGCACTGTGCTATAGAAATACATTTTGATAGAAAAATAGAATAAAATGTTAAAATGAAAAAAAAAAATCTGGTTGCGTGGATTGAAAGGGTTTGGAAGAAGCAAAAAGCGTCATCATCCCATTCCCCTTCAGTGCCGCTAAATACCATAATCAAATGTTTTGTCTTTCATAAATAACTTCCCTTACAGCTTCACATGAAAAGGTTTGTTTGACTTTTGGAAGAAAAGGATTGATACAACATATGTTTTGTCTTAATTGGTTAATAACTTCAGTCTGTAACGAGAACAGAGAACACTGGACAAAGCCAGGACATCAAAGCACAGATGTAAACAAATAAATACTACTCACAATAAATAGCAGCAGACGGCCGTGAGGATCAGACTGGTCACAATCACTCTGTGAACGAGAACAATACCACTATTATAACGTATCAGCTTAAGTGGTGTCAGCTGTAACCATGACAACAGAGAGACAAAAAGCAAAAACACATGTGCAGATGCAATCTTTTATGGATATTTATCAGCATTTATGGACCAATGACTCGGTGTGGATTTTAATCACTGCATTTACTGTGTTTGAACTGTTTGATTTTCTGATCTGTGTTTCCAAACACAGATCATATCCTCTGGCAAATCCTCCCCCCCGGACTGCCACCTTAACATGGTGGGGGAGTTTAGTACTCGGATGATCCTGGGAGCTATGTTGTCTGGGGCTTTATGCCCCTGGTAGGGTCTCCCATGGCAGACAGGTCTTAGGTGACGAGTCAGACGAAGCACAGTGCAAAGCTCACCATGGACAGTATGAAATTGTGAACCGTAACGTCGCCCGGCATGGCTAAGCCGGGGCCCCACCCTGGAGCCAGGCCTGGGGTTGGGGCTCAAATGCGATCGCCTGGTGGCCGGGCCTCAGCTCACGGAGCTCGGCCGGGCTCAGCCCGAAAGGACTTCCTGTGGACCCACCACCCACAGAGGGATACATGGGGGAGAGGTGCAGAGTGGACTGGGCGGCAGTCGAAGGTGGAGACCTCGACAAGCCAGTCCTGACACACAACATCCGGCTGTTGGGAAGAGCCTTGTGGCGGAGGTTGAGAGATACCGACTAGAGATAGTCGGGATCTAAACACAAGTGCAAGACGTTGAATTGTTGTATAATTCTTTCACAAAATTGTACTGAGAAGACTCTTTATGTGAGTAAAATATGAGGAATGTATGAATGTAATTATTTAAATGAATGAATGAGAAATTAAAGAATGACATTAGTAACAAGATTCAAGTATTAATTTGTCATTTGCCTTTGAGAAATATTCTGGAACTCTCATGATTAACGACAGAATAAAATGGGGCTAAGCTATACACAGTGTTACAAAAGTAATGTCATTACTGAAATGTGTTTCGTTTTATTGTAACGCAGTAATGTAAGGCATCAACAAAAAATGACATTTTACTCGGGACAAAGGTCAGTATTGTGTGTTTCATTGTATTTTAACCCAAAATGAAAAGGTGTTTTTTATATATTACTCTACTGTGAGATCAGCAGATGAGAAAAACACCTGTGCCAATAGTATTTGCCCAAAAGTGTTGTTCCTTTCTGGTTGAAGACGGCTGAGGCTGAAGCAGAAACAGGATCTACATCAACAATACTACATTTTACAGATGAACTGATTCTCGTTATTTAGAAATTATTGTAGACAAAGAAGTGGAATATAACAGTTAAATGTACTTTATGTGAGGACCCAAAAACTCTATCAACATCGCCCAACAGCATCATAAGCTACATTTAGTTTGTTTATATATGTATTTGGTGAAAGTAACTTCAAAGTATGCAGTAGTAGTGCATTGCTTAACACTTCAGATAAAGTAATATTGTAGCGTACCATACTTTGAAATAACAGTAACAGGTCATACATAATGAAACATGTTTTGGACTGTTTTTAACTTAGAAACTCACTATCAAACTTTAAGTCAGTCCTCAAAATCCATCTGTTCAAGCTTTCCCGTAAACCCCCTTTTTTTTAAATTATATTCCCCATGTGAAGCATCTTTGTGTGTCAAAAAAAAAGCACAAGTTCTATATATTACTATTATTATTATTATTATTATTATCTTGCCCAACACTTCCTGTATATACGTTTACAGATTTTTTCATCCAAATTTCTGCATGAAAGACAATGTAATTTAAGTAGATATGAGTAGATTAAATGATAGATTTCCTTCTTCTGTTCGACTTGACAGCAGCCTCTGGTCCTGAGCAGATGGATGGAGGATGACGCACAGGCCTCATCCTGACGCACGCACGTTTCCCACAGATTCACGCTAAACGAGCTAACGCAAAAGATACAGATTGTAAATTGTATAGAAATATAATTAACACGTACGATGGGTCTAATATACTTCCACACAGTGATATTTATGCAAGGATACAGACCGACGTGGGCTTGCTAAAAAAAAAAAAAAAAAAAAAAAAAAAAAAAAAGGAAAAATGGTTGAATTATTTGCACCTACCCCCTGTTGGGTCCTTTAGGCACCAGGAACGGGGCCACGATACCGACCAGGCCCCATAACGTGGTGAAGCAGATCATGGGTAAGGCGAGCGAGTGCGAAACCATGGTTAAATCTGAGAGAAACTCCACTGAAGCGAAAGACACAGCGTTTTGTGAAAGGACAGACCTGGCGCATCAATGGCCGCTGAGAGAGCTGCTGGCATCCGCTGTGGTCCCGCCCCACGAGCATCAGCTGCGCCTGATTGGACGGCAGCGGTGGAATCCTGGGCTGTGATTGGTTGATTGGTGCCATCGCTCAAGATTATGGGACGAGTTAAGGGACCCGGAAGATGAGAGGATTCCCGCAGCCTCCACATCTTTCCTGGACCCGTGCTATGATCACAGGTCTGCGCCTTATATTTACGATTTAGTCATTCCAAACCCTTGTTTAGTATATTTCTGAGCGAATTGTCAATCTTTAGGGATTCTTTGAGGCTGTGTAATTCAAAGAAAGCACTTTGGTTATATGAAAATATTGTGAATCTACCTCTGACCCTTGTGACTTAGTAATGTGGCTTTCTATGTTCTTGTTCTGTTTTTTTTTATTTTATTTTTTTTATATATGCGTGAAATTGTACTAAATATGTAAGATGTCTGATTTGTTTTTCAATAAAAAATAATAAAAAATACTCCATAAACATAAAAAATATCCTTATATTTACGTTGTTTGAGGACGTTTTCCCCCTTTCAAAATGAGGATTATTATTATATTCTTCATTTTTTCTATCTGTTGTATTGTAGGGGAGATATTAGCAGTTCTGGATTGCATATTTTTTATTTGAAAGCGTGGTTTTAATTGTTTAATCTAGTTTTATTAAACACGTTGAGTTTCCTTCTGAAAAAAAAAAACGTGTAAAGTGCTTTTCATACAAAGTGCTTTACATCCTGGTTAAAAAAAACTGGATCAGCCTGCAGACCACATATATATTTTATTATTTCTCTAAACGTATCCATCTTATATAAATTCACAAACAGTCATCCTTTAAGATATAGGTCAACAGTTTTAATTATGCGTATAAACATTTCACAAAGCCAGTGGTTCATGTGGTAGAAATACACTTCCTCATTTCTGAAAGTGACTATTCTAGCCGTAGATGTGACTGGAGGCCAAAATGCTCCTGGTAACTGGTCAGTAGGTGGCGCTCTTCGGGCCTGTGTCTGGCTAAGACTGCTCTGAGAATTCTGACGTCAAAACTGGACTCGTGGGAGTTCTGGTTTGAAAGTTCTTTTGGAGCCAAAGAACGCATTTCAGAACTGAGAAAACAAGAAAAGAAACATTGGAGGAGACATGCTTTTGCAAACTATACTGTATTCTCTTTCTCAGTCTGTGTCTCTCTCTCGGTCTATGATTCTCTTTTTGTCTCTCTCCCTGTGTCTTTCTCTCTCTCCCTCTGTCTTTCTCTCTCTCTATGTCTCTCTCCCTTTCTGTGTCTCTCTGCCTCTATCTCTCCCTCTCTGTGTCTTTCTCCCTTTCTGTCTCTCCCTCTCCGTGTCTCCCTTTCTGTCTCTCTCTCGGTGTCTCTGCCTCTCCCTCTCTGTGTCTCTCTCCCCCTCTCCGTGTCTCCCTTTCTGTCTCTCTCTCGGTGTCTCTGCCTCTCCCTCTCTGTGTCTCTCTCCCCCTCTCCGTGTCTCCCTTTCTGTCTCTCTCTCGGTGTCTCTGCCTCTGTCTCTCCCTCTCTGTGTCTCTCTCCCTTTCTGTCTCTCTCTCGGTGTCTCTGCCTCTGTCTCTCCCTCTCTGTGTCTCTCTCCCTTTCTGTCTCTCTCTCGATGTCTCTGCCTCTGTCTCTCCCTCTCCGTGTCTCCCTTTCTGTCTCTCTCTCGGTGTCTCTGCCTCTGTCTCTCCCTCTCCGTGTCTCCCTTTCTGTCTCTCCCTCTCTGTGTCTCTCTCCCCCTTTCCGTGTCTCCCTTTCTGTCTCTCTCTCGGTGTCTCTGCCTCTGTCTCTCCCTCTCTGTGTCTCTCTCCCTTTCTGTCTCTCTCTCGATGTCTCTGCCTCTGTCTCTCCGTGTCTCCCTTTCTGTCTCTCTCTCTGTGTCTCTGCCTCTGTCTCTCCCTCTCTGTGTCTCTCTCCCCCTCTCCGTGTCTCCCTTTCTGTCTCTCTCTCGGTGTCTCTGCCTCTGGCTCTCCCTTTCTGTCTCTCCCTCTCTGTGTCTCTCTCCCTTTCTGTGTCTCTCTCTCTGTGTCTCTGCCTCTGTCTCTCCCCTTCTGTCTCTCCCTCTCTGTGTCTCTCTCCCTTACTCTCTCTCTCTCTCTCTCCCATGTGTCCTTGTATGTATAGCTTCTCTTCTGTTGTCTGTATGCATCTTTTATCTGTTTTTTCCTCCCCTCTTTTCCATCTTTTTGCTTTTATAGACTTTCAAGCCACTTCTAGACTCTCCTTGCACCAGGACCCCAGCTTGAAACACACTCCAGAACACACTTATTACCCATGATAATGATCCATTGTGGTAGTCGGATGCACTCTTCCTAATTGCCCTGGGTAAAGTCCATGTGTGTCTCTGCCCAGACGAGACGCTCTGCCCGACAGAAAGAAAATATTATTCATACAAAGTCATGATTAACTTTGTTGAATAGTCAAATTAAATACTTTTTCTGGAGGTGGAGGTGCTCACAGTGAAGGAACTCTTTGAACTCATGAAGCCGGAGAGCGGCCCCAGACCCAGCCATCTCTGTCGGAGCGGGAAGACCAGCTGCAGTTTATATATAGACAAACAATTCAATTAATGTGTTTTTGTATAGCCTTAAATCACAACAGTAGTTTTCTCAGTGATGATTGGTTGGATTTGTATTTAGATCATTTATTTTGAATCTGCACAACACATATCACATGTATCTATGTAACCGACAACATGGCTTGAAAAGGCGTTAGAAGAATTATTGTATTTCCATCCACAACACACGCTAACACTTTATACATACACAAACCCCTATAGACACACTGAGACACACACACAGACACTTTACAGACACACAGACACACTTTACAGACACACGCACTTTACAGACACAGACAGACAGACACACGCACTTTACAGACACACACACAGACACACGCACTTTACAGACACACGCACTTTAGACACAGACAAAGACACTTTATAGACACACAGACACACACACTTTACAGACACAGAGACACACACACACGCACTTTACAGACTTTATAGACACACACACGAAATTTCCCCACTGTGGGACGAATAAAGGAATTCTTATCTTACACACTTTACAGAGACACACACGCACACACTTTACAGACACACACTTTACAGTTTACACACACAGAGACAGACTTTACGGACGGACGGAGACAGACACAAGAGGCTGTAATAATATATCAGTTGAATTCAAAGCATGCAGTACACACAATAATACATAGTTCCCACATGACGTCACTACATACGGGGATTTGCCGACCCGGCGCCATTTGTGTTGGCATGCTGTGGGCAAAACAATAGAAAAAGAAGCTGAAACGTGTTAATGTCGTGATGAAGTTGAAAATGGTCATCTCCTGCTGGGTCAATGGATGTTCAAATCGTGCCGGAGGTTCCGTTAAACTTGGATTTTACAGTATACCCATCATTAGACTTCATGAATGTGAGAAGACTAAGCTTTTGTCAGAACAACCACGGAGGTTATGGCTTGCGAAGATAAACAGGCAAGAAACTCCCTCAAAACACGCAAGAATATGCTCGGAGCACTTTGTGTCAGGTGCGTATCGTATCTCATAATGTGTTGACAGACGTAATTTACTCAGTACTAACTTGTGTATGCTGATAGCTGGTAACTTGAGAGTTTCATTATTTAGCGTTAGATTACTTTATTATGAGGAGGATCGGTGTCGCGTCCGAGGCTCTCGAGGGCAACGTAAATGTATTAAATAGATAATAATAGTTCTATGGTGGGCTAAAACAATGTTCACAAACAGCATTGCTTCTGTAAAAAGATCTGTGTCATAAAATAAACTGCTCTTTACGCCTGGAAAAATCAGTTGCCCACCATTCACCAAACATACGGTCAAAAACGCGGAAATAAACAATAACAGCAATCCAGAGTGTCCGTGTGGCATTAGCATTAATTAAATTAATTGATTGACTGCGGAACCTTCCGCAGTCAACCATTGGTTTTGTATTTCTTTATTCCGTCATTTTTTTTGACACGTTTCACAGCTTTCACATTTTCAACAATTTCCACAAGTTATACATCAAAACGTTCCACATGTTTGGGAGATTATTGCTATTACTTTTGGGACTTCAGCGATTTCCGGTTTTTCCGCAATCGGACAAAAATCTGCATTGAGAATTCTGCAATGCATTTTAATAGGCCCATGCATTTTAATAGGACTTCAGCTCTTTCAGACATTTCTACAGTTTCAATGATTCAACAGTTTCAAGGATTCAACAGTTTCAAGGATTTCAGCAGTTTCAAGATTTCAAGAGTTTCAAGGACTTCAACAGTTTCAAGGACTTCAGCAGTTTCAAGGACTTCAGCAGTTTCAAGGACTTCAGCAGTTTCAAGGACTTCAGTGTAATCATGCAACCTAATAGGGATTTTTCCATGTAAACCAGTATAATGCAACTTAATAGGGATTTTTCCATGTAAACCAGTATAATGCAACTTAATAGGGTTTTTTCATGTAAACCAGTATAATGCAACTTAATAGGGTTTTTTTTCATGTAAACCAGTATAATGCAACTTAATGGGGATTTTTCCATGTAAACCAGTATAATGCAACTTAATAGGGGTTTTTACATGTAAACCAGTATAATGCAACTTAATAGGGGTTTTTTCCATGTAAACCAGTATAATGCAACTTAATAGGGTTTTTTTCCATGTAAACCAGTACAATGCAACTTAATAGGGATTTTTCCATGTAAACCAGTATAATGCAACTTAATGGGGATTTTTCCATGTAAACCAGTATAATGCAACTTAATGGGGATTTTTCCATGTAAACCAGTATTATGCAACTTAATAGGGATTTTTCCATGTAAACCAGTATAATGCAACTTAATAGGGATTTTTCCATGTAAACCAGTATAATGCAACTTAATGGGATTTTTCCATG